GCCCGTGTCCGGTTTTTTTTTTCCGGACATGCTGCGGTGCAGTACAGTCGGTGCGCTGAAGAAGGAACTTGTTTCGTTGTGGAGGGGCTCCGTGTTCCTTAATTGTTTCACAGCTTGCCTCAGGGTTTCCTAATGTTTTCGATGGGAAATCGAAGTCTAACTTATGGAAAAAAGGGGCCTCGTTCCTTATTTAGGGTTCCTTAGGTCAACGCCCCGACTGTATGTTGTTCGTGCCGCCGTTTGGAAAAATCGGTTTCGAGGGATACTGGGTGTCCGGGTCCAGCGTGCCCGGGTCTGCGGGGCCCTGCGTGCGCAGAGTGAGGAGCAGCGGGCAGCGACGGCTCCAGGAGCGCAAGCGGAGGAGGGAGAGAGGGGCCGAGGCCGAGCCAGGCGCGCCTCGCGTCATTCAGGAGGGAGCAAAACACACAGACACAAGTCATCGTCGATTCCCCAAAAAATATGTGGAAATATGGGAAGGTGGGGGGAAGACAAAAAACCAAGAAAATATGGGAACCTATGGGGAATCCTGTTATTTGTGTGTATTTATTTGTGTGTCCCAGGGCCCCTTGAGTTATATGTGACGTCGTACCCCTCCCTCCCATCCCATACCACTGTGTAGAGTCCCTCTTTGCCCGCACAGTTGGATGTTGTAGAGGACGACGACTAGGGGAACAAAAAGTGGCATAAACATAAAAACTTGGAGGTCCGCGCGGATTTCTCGGATCGGCGCTGGGCCCCCCCGGCGGCGCCTACGGCGCCGCCCCTCGCGCGCTCCGCGCGCCAGGGAGGGGGGTCCAGCGCCGATCCGAGAAATCCGCGCGGACCTCCGAGTTTTTATGTTTACGTTACTTTTTGTTCCCCTAGACGATCACTGAAGGGTGCGCGAGGCATTGAATGGCATAGCATTGTGTAGTCAATCGCTGCAAGCCATGGCTTTGCAGCCCAAGGCATGGCGTCGCAGAGCGGCGTACATCATAACATCGCCTGGCATTCCATTGCGTGGCAGCGCACAGCTTAGCCCAGCTTTGCAGAGCAAGATATGGAATGGCGTCATAGCGGCACATAGCATAGCACTGAACGGTTCAGCTGGAAAACCGTGTTGGAGGACCGACAACTTGGAGACAAGGTTGGTGTTGCAGCGGGAGCACCAGTCGAAAACACCAACAACGCGGAAATGAAGCTAGAGCTGCAGCGAGAGCAGTCTTCGGAAGGACCGAAAACGCGGAAGCAAGACCAGGCGCTGCGGCGGGAGCACGGCTTTGGCGGATCAGAAGCGCCGAAATGAGGCCAGCGCTGCAGCGGGAGTATCTATCTGAGGGACCGAAACGCTCAGATTGGAAAGCGCACGAAAGTACCAAGTCGCCCACATCCTGTGCGTAACATAACCATATGCGGAGGGAGGGCGCCTACGTTCAGCACATAGATGGGGAAGAGGTGGTCGAATCGTAGAGGGGAGACAGGACGGCATGCCACAAGAAGCGTCGACGCCAGCAAGGGCTTGGCAACGCCCCGCGCAAGAGATCATTATGTGATCGGAGTTGCCCACATAAGGATGTTACGGGGTTAGTGGGGAGCAACGGGGCACAACAGTAGTCATCATGAAGCCCCATGACGTTCAGGTACGTTATTATTCATCGTTCTCCTCCTCACCATCGTGCTCCTCCTCCCACTTCTTCTCCTCCTGGAAGAAGCACGCACAAGACAACGATGACGACGACGGCGACGGCGACGACGACGACAAAACGAAGACGACTACGAACGCGCCAGGAGTTGACGAAGAAAAACGCAGAATGCTTTCTGGACGCTCATGCGGACTCCTTGGCCCAAGCGCGTCACGCCCGCTGAGGACCAGGACAGGAGGAGGAGGAGGAGGAGGAGGAGGAAGAGAAGGAGGAGGAGGAGGAGGAGGAGGAGAGGAGGAGGAGGAGGAGAGGAGGAGGGAGGAGGAGGAGCAGGGGGAGGAGGAAGAGAAGGATGAGGAGGAGAAGGAGGAGGAGGAGGCGGAGGAGGAGGAGGAGGAGGAAGAGAAGGAGGAGGAGGAGGAGGAGGAGGAGGAGAAGGAGGAGGAGGAGGAGGATGGTGGCGGGAAGGCGGTGTTCCATCGGCAAGCCACGCAGCCCGCGCGGAGCTCAAGCAGGCTCGCGCCGTGCCGAAGGGGGGGCGGCACACAGAGGCGCGGGGAGCAGCACAGGGGCCCCCCCCGGCTGCCCTCGAGGGGCCGCGGGCGCGCGCCCTCCCTCCTCCCCCTCGTTCGTCCTCCGTCCTCCCCCTCCTCCCTCCTCCCCCTCGTTCGTCCTCCTTCGTCCCTCCTCCCCATCCTTCGCCCTCCTTCCTCCCTCCTCCCCCTCCTTCGTCCTCCTTCGTCCCTCCTCCGCCCTCCTCCCCCTCCTCCCCCTCATTCATCCCTCCTCCCCCCTCATTCGTCCTCCCCCTCAGTCGTCCTCCTGCCTCCACCTCCTCCTCCTCCGGGGTCGTGGGGCCGCGGTGGATTCTGGCCACC